TTCCTAATTTAACAGCTTGAATAAAGTCATATTGGAAAAAATATATAACAAACATAGCCCTTTTAAATCTTTCATTTTCCCCTGTTGTGCCATTTTTCAATACTCTACCATACTAACCATACTCTTAGCCTTTCTTTTACTGTCTATGCTCTAACCTCAGTGCGAAATATTAAAAGCATAGGCGATGTAACGTTTGCCTCTCGTGGTTACATTCACGGTCGTGTACTGCCACCTACTGGATTTACCAGGTCACAACACACTTCAGGGAATTTCTGTAGCGTAGTAGCGGAGCGAAATGGACGATGAAAAACTCATCAATGAAGTAGGAATATTTGCAATAAACCACAGATTTTTCAAAGACAACATAAGGAAGTCAGCAGCGTGGAGGAAGATCGCAGATGTCATTGGATTTTCAGGTAAGATTCTCTAATTATGTTAACTTACGATCTGAGGTAAAATTTTCTGTGACTGACGTTAGCAACGACTGTACTTAATTGTACAGTAAAACAACGTACAGGACAGACATTATCTTAGACTCCAATAACATGCCACCAGTGAACCACAGGAATATTAATTGATGTTAACAATGAAACCAATAGCTTAAGCGAAAAATATGTAACATATTTGTTTTATTGAACAAGCAAATCATATTAGTAGCTATAAGAAATGTTGAAATTGATTTGTAATAATACATAATAATGCTAATAATTAATTAGTGCAGTCTAATATTAATGCTAATCAAAGACTAAATTATTGTGTAAGCAGGCATACATTAAGATATTAAATATTTACATACATTATGACATCAAGAAAGTGATACATTCTAAAATCAATTAAATTTAATAAATAAATAATTAAACTAAGACTATGGTGACCATTAAACCATTTCATTCTGCCAAGATACATGTCCCTCAGAGTTGAAATAAGAGCAGAATTGGTCTCGAACCGCGTAGGCCTCCCTTGCACCACGAAGCCCACCAACAGTAGAAATGCTCTCCATCGATCCAGGAGTTGGGGCACTGGTATTCAGCCACCTCTCTACTTCCATTGGCTTGAGAAGAAAGTTATGCAGGATGCAAGCTGACAAAATAAGGCTGTTTATTTTGTCAGGGTGTATGTCCAGTGAGATGACAAAATGCCGAAGGCATTTTTAACTACATTGCGCGCTCGAGACAATCTGTAGTTGAGGATGCGTTGTTGTGTAAATAAGTCCCTACCGGGGTAAGGCCGCATCAGGTAGGTTTTTAATGGGAATGCTGCATCCCCAACCATGGTGAATGGCATGTTCCCCAGATGCTCTGCTCCTGCGCTGATCATCTGGGATCTCCAGCTTCTTTGCATCTAGAGCCTGCCCTATACGCCCGAAACGATATTCGGCATCAACGACAGCCAATAATACTACAGAGAATGTTTTTTTGTAATTAAAATAAAGGCTGCCTGAATGTGGTGGTGCAAAGAGGAGGATGTGCTTCCCATCTATCGCTCCTATGCAGTTAGGACAATTCCACCTACATGAAAATCTTGAGGCAATATTCCTCCACTTCTGCTCAGTTGGTCTTGCTAGGCGACCCGGTATCACGCTAAAGCGTGTAATACACACGCTGGTCCACTAGCGGATGCGTGTCAGGGTCACGCTTTGCCTCCTCAAGGCGTGAACATGACACGCATGAATGAAGGTTGAGTACCAGCAGGGGGCAATAATTTCCTCTATGCCAACAACTCTCCACCGACCAAATAGAAGCGATATAGTGCATTCTCCAAAATTCCCGCGCCGTTCAGGTCGGTCAAAGCCATATTTGTATTACAGTGCTATCATTTAAGAAATCTACATTGCTATAGCCTAACGTTATATTTGTGTGTATGAAGACTGTGGAGCTTTTTAATCTGTGGTGCTGTTAACGTTACTGTGGTCAATAACGTCAACGGAAATTGATATTAATTGGCTAATTAATTAATCACAGAAAGCTGCTTCGGCAGCCTCCCCAGTTTCTTTTGAAAAAGGTAAGCATAGAAGGAGCTACAGTATATGAAGAGTATTGAAAATAAGTTATAAGCCCCACAAAACCATACTCTTACTTTGTGTAATGTGAAACTGTAAACAAATTCAGAGTCCCGAAACATTTATTATTATAAAAAAAAAAAAAAAAAACAGTTTTCAACATTGATAATAATAATAATAAATTACACAGTGTGACTGTGAGCTAGGCACTTTACTCCAGGGGGATTGTCCCTGTAAGTGCACTGTAAGTCGCTTTGGATAAAAGCGTCTTCCAAATGCATATATATATATATATAAATGTTTCTTGAGCATCAAATCAGCATTTTAGAATGATTTCTAAAGGATGTGACACTGAAGACTGGAGTAATGATGCTGAAAATCCAGCTTTGATCACTGAAATAAATTACATTTTAAAATATAACCAAATAGAAAACAGATATTTTAAATTGTAAAAATATTTCACAATGTTACTGTTTTTGCTGTATTTTGTATCAAATAAATGAAGCCTTGGAGATAGGAAGTCTTCTTTTAAAACATCAAAAAATGTAACCGGTTTAATAATGTTGGCCACCACTGTATATATATTTTAAAATGATTATTGGATTAGAACCTCTCATCAAATTCCATAAACTGCTGCTGTTGTCATTACTTCATTACTTCAATCATGCCTGTGTTTGCCCATATTTAGGACATTGTTTCTGGGTGTCTTCCCATTCATAGTGCACAAAATATTGACTCACTATCGTTATGCAATATAGTGAAATATCATATGAAAATGTTGCAGAATGTATGCAATATTCCTTTTATTTTGTGGAGAGTTGCATCCGTCAATTTTGAAATGTGTAGGACACCTGGTTGTATTATTTGAAATTGGCCTGTGTCTAAAGAGCATTCTTTAAAGGTCTCTGTCTCACCTTAAAAATTTTTTTTTGACAAATAAAGCCCAGTCTTCATTATAAACTGTGCCTAATTGTATTCTTCATGTGGGTGACATGGATGCAACATTTAGCAAATGTTTTAAAATATATATATATTTTTTTACATATTTTAAATGTTTCTCTATATTTAACAGATGAAGTTGTGGAAGGAGGCTGTCCTGCTCCCACTATTGTGCGGCTGAATAAAAGGAAAGGTGTGTTGATGTAATGTGTGTTATCCATACATTGGGATTTATATTAATTGTTGAGTCTTCATGAAGGCTATATTTGCATTTGTAAGTGGCTGTGGTCCTATTAGGTTTGGGCGATGTCCAAATGAATATGTTCAATTGTTTATTTAACAGTAGGGCTGAACAACTAATCAAAATCTTATCGAACCCGCAATATGACCTACTGCAATTTTCAAATCACAGGAGGTGCAATATTTGTTAAAGGCAAAATTTGTGTTCAAATACCATTTTAAATTAAATATTGTGGCGCTGCAGAGATGTCCTGTGCCTACACATCATATCCTACAGCTCTTTGTTAGATACAAATACTTGCAGAAATCACACCATAATCATTTAAATATGTTGTTATTACCTTGTTTGACAGTGGAAGCTGTGGAAGGAGGCTGTCCTGCTCCCGCTACAGTGCGGCCGAAAAAAAAGGAAAGGTGTGTTGATGTACTGCTTGTCCAGCTTTCTGTATAGGAGTGTGGACTGAATGCCACAAAATTGATTAGCATGAGATGTTGTACCTAGCTATAGTCTTCTGGCAATTATTTGGCAACATAATAGCATAGTCAGAAAGTAGCATACATGTTTTATGCTTTTGGTTTTGGTTTTCACAGTCAAAAGCATGTTAGTCTTTGCTATGAGAAAGCAATTAACAACTGCCAGGCAGCACAATAGAGATTAATTTGAATTCATGGATTTAACTTATCTTTGTTTGCCAATATATTTATTACAACTGCCATGTATGTATGTGTATGTATTTGTATGTATGCAAATCTCTCTAAGTAAAGAGTTGAACTGCACACTCACTCAAATATTTTGTCATATAATACATACGTCATGCATGATAAAACCCACATTAAAAAACTTTGGTTTGAGTTGTTTCTTATAAATGAGATGATCTAATTTTCTAAGTTTTCTTAAAATAGTTTACTGATCTGGACTAAAATGTATGTGCACTTAATGTGTGTTTTATCATACTCTGTCTTTAGTTCTTTTTAACTTGTATCTCATAAAGGTGTGTGTTTGCTTTAGCTACTTAAGAAAATTAAAATCTCTCTCTCTAAACTTGTATAAATTATAAACACCCATCTCTTTTTTCTCTCTCCAAACGTAAAATGTATTCTCTCTTCAGGTGAAGAAATAGCATCTATACAGAGAGGTTGCAACTTACCTGCGCTTAACAGATGCACCTCTTGCTGTTCCCTATTTCACTGTCCTTTCTGTACTTCTGCTTTTCTTAAGCCCTCAAAGAAAAGTAAAGTACAAACTCATCTTCAGCTTCACTTTTCGAGGGCAGTCGTCCATGAAGGTAGTATCATGTGTGATTGATTTTTTTTCCTAAAAATGTTGTAAATAATGAATGTTGATTTTAAATATATGCATGATTGATGTTTTAGTATTACTCAAATAAAGCTATGTCAACATTGTAAGGACACGTTGCATATAAGTTTAACTAATAAGTTATTATTGTCTTTCTATGAAACATTAAGCTAATCACATGAACTAGGAATGCAAGAAAGGGAGTGATTTTTGTTTTCTTTTTTTCTTTCAGATTATACAATCCACCGGTGTGGTCTAGGTTGTGTGTCACAATTACACTACCATTGTGTATATTGTTCTTCAATAAAATTACGACGTGACCACTTTGTGGCCCACCTGAAAGGCTGTAAGAATGCCGGTGCATCAACCACCATTCCTGATGTGGCTCCCCTGACTGCCAGTAGGTCCTTCCTAAAATCACAACTACGAAACAGCGTAGTTATTAAAACAAAATGCCCTCTTTGTCACATTACTATTCAAAAAAAAAATTTAAGGAAACATCTGGAGAGGAATCCAGACATCTAGGGACGACATTACATCAAGTCATCACCTGTATTCTGACTGCATAGACCGAGCTAACGGTGTCTATGCAGTCCAGAAACATTTTCTCTCTTCGAGTATTCCGGTCCATGTTGTGTCCAAAATCTGGGGAGCAGAGCACAATGTCAGATGTGAGTTGCCATCCTGTCAAGTGGACATCGACTTAGCCAGGAGGAGTGGACTAAGCCACTACAAATGCCATCACCTTAGGTCACTGGACTATTGTGGGTCCTTTCCTGATGATCCTTCTCTTTCAGAAAGTACCCTGACAGAAATGGTCAAGCTAAAATGGTTTGGCAGTGAAAGAAAGAGAGATTACCTAGAAAGACAAAGCTTGGCCACCCATGACAACAGACCCTTGTCTGTGGCAACAAAGGCGACAATGCCCTCTTTAAAGAGGTGCATTTCAGTATATGAGCCACATGCATCATATTATGCCCAACTTGGAAGAATAATGGTCACATATGATGTAAAGCAGAACTCCTGGCATTGTCCTTGTGCCAGGTCAAGAAGATCCTGCCTCCATAAATATATTGCAAAATGGCACCTGTTCCAGACTGAGCATCAGCTTTTCAGGACCGTCCAAAGCACAGATCAGACCAGTCCAGTTCATGAAAGTGTAGATGACGCAGGCCTACTGTACCCCCCGACAAAAGAGCTGGAATCTATGATTCAGTATGTCATGAACAACAAGACCATCCCTGCAGCTCTTCCCGAGAACCTGCGTCTGCCTTCATTTTCAAGCACATACCCAACCAGCCTCATTCCTGATGAGATGTTCTGCCATAGATGTGCTGGAAATGTACCTTTATCAGACCCTCTGCTCATCACATCAAAGGCCAAAATTCTTACAAATACAAGAATTATCCATGGTAAGTAATTTAGGTGCCAATAAGGATCTATAAAATACATACTGACATCAGTTCTGAATGTGTCCTAAATGGTATTATAGTATGGCTTAATTTTCTAACATGGTATTTTTCAGACGTTGCCACCTACTCGAAATGTTGCCACCAATGTGGAATCCACTACAGGTATCAAGAGTGGAAAGATGGCCTGCACAATTTTAATGACAGTGTCATTCTTGACCTTCCTTTATGCCTACATCTTCGAAACATGCTACAGGTTAGGTTATATAATTTAAATAATTAAATAATTTACCATTACCTCTAGTAAAAGTAGTGCTTTGCAAGGTTTTTCAAGAAGTGGATAGAAATTATTGTTTGTGTTATCTTAAATCATAGGCCCACACCGCTGTCGGGAGAGTGGTTCAGTGTCTGGAGGTCACCATAGGGGAACAGTTTCCTCCAGCCAAAACAGTGCTCCATGCCTATCTCCATTTTGAGGCACTCACAAGTCACGAGTATGAATACTCTTGTGTGACATGTGGGGATCATCCACCCATTGTCATCATGGATCTCCACAGAAAAGGAGCATTCAACATGTCATGTAAGTGTGTTGGCATAGACCATATTGATATTCTGTGCTTTGAGCAAATAATACATTCTGGGTGAATTGACACTGCTTGTGCATATTTAGCCAATATACATATATATACCTAATGTTTTCCATTATACAGGTCGTCTTATTAATATGTTTGCTTTCTGTATGTTGTTAGTGAGTGACATCAAACCACCACCAAAGGATTTCAATGGACACATGGATATGGACGACTTTTGGGATAAACTGGCCCTGCAAATGATTGGTCGTGGCTTTGTAAAAAGTAATTATCTTGTTTTATGTGCCTCTTCTTGATATTTGGTGTGCTATTTACAATCTTTTTTTTAACATTTTGCTTTTTCTGTTGTTATTTAAGAACAGAGTGACAATCCCTTCACTGTCCACCCCAATTACCACCTTTGGGCACCATGGATTGGAAGACATACACGCAAGTCCAGTCAGTGCCTCAACACAGAGTTCCAAAAAATCCACCAACCCAAAGAAGCTGAGCTTTGCGAAATAACTGTCTCTGAAGATAGACTCAAAAATGAGCTTTATAAGAAAAAGGTCAAATTGATTTCATTTCTAAATTCTGCGACTAGCATGAAGTGTTTCTTTGGCTTAGTAGCATGTAAGTATTTTTGTTGCAACTGTATTTTTATTTGTTTTTAGGTATCAGTGATCAGGAAACTGTGCAAGGAATGTGGTGTTGATTCCATTGGCTCAAAAAGTGACCTCCTAGAGAGGCTTTCATCTGAGATGAAATCTAGACATACTTTTGACAAAGTATTCGAAAAGATTTGGGGTGCCTCTGGTAAGAAACAAATGCTTGTGTTTTGGTATGTTTGTGACTGCCACTTTACCTTTGTAGGCCTTATACTTTTATTACTGCTGCCTGACATAGATGTTTTTTTCCAGGTGGATGGGCTGTGGTCATGTGCCCTTGTGGAATTGTCTACAGCATCAAATGCTGTTTGCGCGCAGAGAGTCCGAGAGACTTTGCAGATCTCCTCCTCTCATGGAAACACATGCCTAATGTAGTCATCTATGATTTCGCACGGGGACTGGCCACACACACCAATCTTCGCTATCCTGAGATGTTAACCTTCACGCCACACGAAGGTCGTCTAGCTGACCCTACAGATGGCAACATAAAGATGGCAAAAGAGGGAAAGCTGAAGATCTCCTTACCGTGGCTTAGTATAAAAAAACAAGTCCCAGACAGCCATGGCCACCCAATTACAGGCTCAGCAGAGCACTATGTCCTTAATGACAAATTTCATGAAGACAATTCAAAAGACGAACGGGATGCTCTCCGCAAGATTGGTCTTGTAGCCCAACTTGCTGGTAAAGTGAATAGCCAGGTTGCGGAGCAGTTCTTTAGCAAGTTAAAGAAAAATAACTACTTTCTAAATATGACCCTTCCATCAACCCACGTCTTCCTCATGAGAAGTATCATCCACCACCACAACAGACAGAAGAATTTGAGAAGACTAGAGGCCTTCAAAAAAGTATTTGGGACAGAAGTGGTGCTGAACATCAACCACCAGGCTGTTCTTGGTAATGTTTGAATTACTGCAATACCACTTTAGAATTGGTTCTAAATATTACTTGTACAGATGTTGTCATGTACCAATATTTTGTGTTATCCAATTAAGCTGTTTCAGAGTCCTCTACTCAATCTGGTGCAACAGACGTTCGCCAAGTGACCAGTAAGTAACACAGGAGAGGATCAAGCCACTTTATACCATTTGTTTAGTCTGTTATTGCTAAGCATTGCAAAGAACAATGTAATGTTTCCTTATTTGCATGTTGTCAAATATTATATCATCTTTTAATATCAAACTCATCAATTAACCCTTTTATATTATAGTCTGATATACACTGTACTTGATTTTATTGACGTCTACATCTGTCATTTCATTATTGTATTTATTGTATTGCATTTGTATTCTGTGTAATTAACTAATAATCTAATTTTGCATGCCTTACAGACATTAGTGGCTCAGAGGCAACAGTGGATTTGCCAGACTTTGATGCCCCCGTAACAGGCATGGGTATGGATAAAGTAATTGCACTAACTAACAGTAATTTTCCATTGCAGCTCATTATTCGTGACCGAGATTGTTTCGTTTTATTCCCATAGAAACCTCTGCAGATGTGAACATGGAGGAAGTGGATGAGGATATGATTGTGGAGGATGCAGATGAGTATTCAGCTCAACCTTGGATGAAGCCTCATAATCTTCTACAAGACAAACTGGTAGTTGTTCATGTCTTTACTATCAATGCTAAAACATACTGTCCACAGTAGCCTGTATTATAACATCCACAATTTGTGTTAAAGGATTAGTTAACTTTTAAAAAAACTTTTGCTGATAATTTACTCACCCCCAAGTCATACAAGATTTCCATGTCTTTCTTTCTTCAGTCGAAAAGAAATGAAGGTTTTTGATGAAAACATTCCAGGATTTTTCTCCATATAATGGACTTCAATGGGACCCAAACGGTTCAAGGTCCAAATGACAGCTTCAGTGCAGCTTCAAAGGGCTTTAAACGATATGATCGGTCATTTCAAAAATAAATAAAAAAGTTTAAATTTTATAAGCGCAAATGCTCGCCTTGCTCTGTTCTGTGATGCGCGTTCGTGACGTCACGTAATACGCAATTACGTTGAAAAGGACGCGCATCACAGAACAGAGCAAGGCGAGCATTTGTGCTTATAAAACTTAAACTTTTTTATTTATTTTTGAAATGACCGATCGTTTCTCTACATAAGACCCTTATTCATCGTCTGGTATCGTCTAAAGCCCTTTGAAGCTGCACTGAAGCTGTCATTTGGACCTTGAACCGTTTGGGTCCCATTGAAGTCCATTATATGGAGAAAAATCCTGGAATGTTTTCATCAAAAATAAGGGTGCTCCGATTGATCGGTCGCCGATCATGATCGGCCGATAATTGCTTTGGGATGTGTGATCGGCGGTCTCTATAAAGGCCGATCCAGAAAAGCCGATCAGATGACGCAAAACTCGCGAGACAATTTTTTTACGCCTTGGTAAAAATGGCTTCACCGGTCTGGCAATTCTACAACAGGGCTCTCAAGTGTCAAGCATTGAGCGTGACAGTCACTCATTTCGGTCTTTTGTCACGCTCTCCCGCCACACATTGTATTTCTCACGCTGAAAAACTATTTGTAATATATTGAATATGCCGCAGCGGCCAAAACTCTGGCCGCGCCGCTCTCACTGTGGAACCAGCATGAATCAAGCGCGTCTGGTGTTGTTCGTCGAGCTACACAATAGCCAATCAGAAAATAGCACTATTGTATCTGGGTAAGATTTAACGCAACAACCAATGAAAAAAATGTATCCAACCGCGAGGCACAGAGTACTGTATCCATCGCCGCGGCAACGAGTGCGCAGCTTGAGTTCAAAAACACATTTTAGCGCTAGATTTCTTATTTAATAGCGAACTAAATGAATGATCTGCTAGTTAACTGAAGATGTTTTATTTATTTATATTAGGTACATGGTGGGACAGACTTCACTGGATCTAAAAAAAAAATCAATCTAACCATAGATGTGACCAGTAGTGGTGGCTTTCTTAATCTGTTTAAAATCATTTTGCAAGGGTTCTTCACACACACACACACACACACACACACACACACACACACACACACACACACACACACACACACACACACACACACACACACACACACAAAAGGTTTCTCTACCTCTCTCTTCCTCTCTAAATGCCCACAAAATCTGACTAAGCATCCCAGAAAAAAGCAAAGTTATAGATACAGATATGGAAGTTGTTAGTTTTTTTTTTTTTTTTTGCTGTGCACTTTACTACCTGTGGTCCTTTAAGTGTATTAGAAAAACTGATGGCTGACTGACTCAAAACATTATTTTGGCTATAGCCTTTTTTGTTGCTGTTTTTAGTTTAAAGTAGTCTAAAGCTAAATTTAAAGACTCAGATGTTCTGTCTTTTATTAATTTTATTTTATATTCTACAGGAAAGTTGTATGTCAAGCCCTAAGCTGCTCCCAATAACCAAGCTGCTATGTTAATACATGTTGCTTGCAAATAAATACACAGGTGTCAATTCATTATGCATTGTCTTCTCTTAAATGTAATACTTAATGTACATTGTTGTTAAATATAGTTTAATGTTAATGTTAACTGTTGTTAAGTAATGCTACATGATAAAAAGAAGTCTTCAAATAGACCCTGTAATCGGTGATCGGTATCGGGTGATACAGCTTCCAGTAATCGGCGATCGGTGATCGGCCCCAAAAATCCTGATCGGAGCACCCCTAATCAAAAACCTTAATTTCTTTTCGACTGAAGAAAGAAAGACATGGACATCTTGTATGACATGGGGGAGAGTAAATTTTCAGCAAAAGTTTTTTTTAAAGTAAACTAATCCTTTAACTAAAAATCAATTTTATCAAGACAAGTTGCCTATTTTAACAAAATATGAAGAATTTAGTCTTTCTTTTGTCCTTTGCAGCTCAGATACATCCTGGACACGGGGCGACTGGCCGATGAGGTCATTGTGAAGGAGGGAGCGATATGCCTCTTAAGAGAAGATTTTTGGACACTGGATTTGAGAAGGGAAATGGAGTCTGATGTAAGTGGTAACATTTGCATGTAGATATTTTTCATGCACCAAAAAAGTACAGCTGTGAGCGCAATGTATGCTCTTTGTTTTCTTTGTGGAAAGAACTTTTGTGTATGTGCTAACTATCTTTATTATTTCTTGCAGATTGGAAATGCCTGCATGAAACTCATTTATGAAGATGCTCGAGCACATGTATAAATCTTTTTCACATGATTTTAAATGAGCTATTTGTAGTTTATACTTTTTTTCTTTTTTTTATATATATATATATATATGAATGGCAAGTGGTAGTCGTCTTAATATTTCCATTTGCTCTCACAGGGCAAAGACATATATACTGCTGATATGTATGTCGTTACTACATGAAAAGACAGTGTAGATCCCTTAGCCTACTTTCCAGTGAGTATTGAATGCATAAATCATACTATTTGACATCTATTGTAAGTCGGAAGTAAAATAAGTTTTGTTAATTGTGTTTTTTAGGATGATGCTGACATGAAGGATGCCCTTGTTTTCCCCCTATGGACAGATGCTGCCGGCCCAGAACATTATCTGTTATGTGTAAGATTTTACAAGTTATGGTGTAGCTCAAAAAAAATTTGTGTATCAAGTTTTATACAGCTTTGATACTTATTATTGACTATGATTATTATTTTATGTTGATCTTACGGAGGTGTGTTTTTATCCCTATATCATAAAGGTAATGCAAATGTGAAATGGATTGTCATAACACTCTCTGTACTACCTAGCTACAACCATTGATTATGCATCCCTATAGGTACTGAAGCCACTCTTAAAGGGATACTCCACTTTTTTTGGAAATAGGCTCATTTTACAACTCCCCCAGAGTTAAACTGTTGAGTTTTACCGTTTTTGAATCCATTCAGCCGATCTCCGGTTCTGGCGGTACCACTTTTAGCATAGCTTAGCATACATCATTGAAGTGGACAAGACCATTAGCATTTCTCATTAAAAAATGACCAAAGAGTTTCGATATTTTTCCTATTTAAAACTTGACTCTTCTGTAGTTACATCGTGCACTAAGACCGACGGAAAATGTAAAGTTGCGATTTTCTAGGCTGATATGGCTAGGAACTATACTCTCATTCCTGCGTAATAATCAAGAAACTTCACTGCCGTACCATGAGAGCAGCAGGCGTAATGATATGACGCAGCGCCTGAAAATAGGCCACCTTCCTTCAACACAACGGAACTATTTTCAGGCGCTGCGTCATATCATTACGCCTGCTGCACTCATGGTACGGCAGTGAAGTTTCTTGATTATTACGCAGGAATGAGAGTATAGTTCCTAGCCATATCAGCCTAGAAAATCACAACTTTACATTTTCCGTCGGTCTTAGTGCACGATGTAACTACAGAAGAGTCAAGTTTTAAATAGGAAAAATATCGAAACTCTTTGGTCATTTTTTTTTTTAGAAATGCTAATGGTCTTGTACACTTCATTGATGTATGCTAAGCTATGCTAAAAGTGGTACCGTCAGAACCGGAGATCGGCTGAATGGATTCAAAAACGGTAAAACTCAACAGTTTAACTCTGGGGGAGTTGTAAAATGAGCCTATTTCCAAAAAAAGTGGAGTATCCCTTTAAGAGAGATCCTCCTACTAGACTCCCTGTACAGAGACATCTTTAGGTCCACAGCTAAGATATAATTGCCACGTTCCTATGGCATGTAATGTAGACATGCGGTTGCATTGTTCCAGTGGTCTTTTTTATTTATTTATTTTTTAGCTATGAGAGTATGTGTTATCATATTAATATACAGTTGCCACGTTCTTATGGCATGTAATGTAGACATGTGGTTACATTGTTCTAGATAGAAACATCTATCTTAATAGATTAAACCAGCAAAGCAAAATCAGGCCTCTTTGTGGATGAAGCATCCATGTTCTGTGGGAGAAAATAGACTCAAATGGGTGTGAGCAGAGGATTAAAAATGCTGGTTTAATTTAAGGCCATATGATATGCTGTTACATGGGCTTTGTAACATAGGACTCCTCATGGCTCTTTGTTAATTTGTCTTTTACCCAAATCTGAGGAGTATTGCACATCGTCTCGACCCTGGACAGTGGACAGAAGTCACAGGATTGGATATTGGGGTGACACACAACTACAATACAACTGTACATACTTTCAGCTCTGTGTATGTTTTTATTTCAAATTCTAATATATTTGTTTCCAAAAGGGCTTTCCTCAACAGAATAACAGCATTGATTGTGGAGTTTTCATGCTCATGGTAAGCTATTAAGGGGGGGCGGAGGGGGGTGGGGGTTTCTTCCTTAGAAGGTTGCTATAAAGTTGTACTTTATTGCTGGTCATTGAATTCTAACAATACAAATTAAATACTAATCCTGTTACATTTCAATTTCTGTTAGCTTGACATGCCTGCAATCAGGGAGTGGTGGTGTCTACGTCTAATTGAGCGGTTTGAGACAGAGGGGGATGTGTATTTGTTTCTTTACATCTCAGTTTAGTGTTTCATTAGTCATCAATCATGACATGTCATTGTTTTTCATAATCTCCTCAGTACAATTTCCACATGACAATCCCAAATTTCTATTCACGATAACCTACATTCAAACAATTTAAATGAATTTAAACATTTACATGATCAATGCAGCCTGTTTATTGTCCATAACAAGAGTTGTCCTATTGGGGGCCAACAAAGTAGATTTTTTCTTTCTTTTTAAAAGGCATGGGAAACGGTTCGCCCACTGGACCGAGGAGGCAAGATGCCTGACTGAAGGGACATTACGACCTCTTTACAGGTGTTTTCCAGGATTAACACATGACTTGCCACAACATGTTGTTGCTGAGAGGAACCGAATGTTGTCCAACCAGCCTCTGGTGGACTTCATTGTGGCAAGAGGAACCGATAACCACATTCAGGTACATGCATCAATAATGCATTTTAAATGCATTCTAAACCAATAGCTTGTCTAGTAAATAAACAACTTACACACACATGGAAATGTTCTTCATGTCATTTTCATTCTCTGCACAGTGCATCATCAATGGACAAAAAAAAAATCAAAGTGGCTTGACACTTTTTCCAAGTGCTCCATCAAGAAAGTGCCTGTGCCGTTGTTCATTGAAGATCAGGAGCAAATTGATGTTATCTTCACTCACCTGACTTCCATTCTGGACAGCACACCCACACACACCCACAGTGACCAGATCAGATTCATTATGGATGTCCTTTTTCCAGAGGTAGGTCTCGTGTGTTAGTTGTGCTCTGCATGGTGTCAGATTCACACAGTTTTTAATATCAAATAGTTTATCCATGTTAGACCATTGCTCTAAAAATAATAGTTTGTGCTTAATATAGAAAAGGCACTTTTGATTTTGTTGTTAAAAAAACTAAACATGCAAAATGATGCTTGGCTTATTTGGCCTGTGATAAATCTCAATTCTTTCTCTGCTAGTCCATCATCTGTGCTCTCGCTGTTGTGGGACATGTGTCCATCTTGGAGGCTGAGGAGAAATTCCTGCGAGGACCTGTCACTGACGCAAGGTACTATAAGGATCTTATAAAGGAATAAATGTTAAAACATGACATCCTGTCATTATTTATAAATAACCATTGTTTCTACCTCTATTCAACTTTAGCTTCTTTTTTCTTTTCTTTTTTTTATCAGTGAGCGGGAGCACTTTGACAGGAGGATAAAAAAACAACTAAAGAAGAGTGGCAAACCATAGGAGAGTCATCTACAGGAGCCATCCTATACATGGTGTTAATAAATAACCCTTTTTTGTGAACAACAATATTGTCTCTTTCTTTTAAATGGCCCTTGGAATTTTAGAAAAGGGTAAAATTGTGTTTGACTTCATTAAATGCTATGTAGGACACTGTTCTATAGCTGTATGATGACCAATTGTGAATAGTACAGCAGATATTTCATTGAGGATCAATATGATTACACGGTACTGTATGTCTAATGGGCTAAATATGGTTAATACCTAAATGTAACTTTATATAAATTCACAACAACATATATCAGTCAGTCTCCTGTATATTAAAATAGTCTAAAAACAATTAATTCTACAGTAGGTCATATATCATTACTTTGTCCATCTGATCCAACTGTGTAATAATATTTTTTAAATTTACAAAAACAAATAGTCTTCTGTAGGCTGAGTGAAGAGTGAAGCCCAACTGAACATCTGAATGTTTTAATCCGTAGTGCAGATAATTCCACTGTCTATAACGTTTATTTAAATGAAAAAATACATAAAAATTAGTAAAAGTCTATTATAGACTGGACGGTTATTAATGTGTTAGTTTCGAGCGTCGATTTAATTGTCATTTCGCCCTGTATCCTTCTCCCCCTACTGGAAGGATCAGGAACAACAGGGGCGTAAAACTGTCAGGGGCGTAAAACTGCCAGCTCTAGGTCTGCAGCCTCCCCATATAGCGGAGATTCTGTGCTAGCAAACAGGCGGGATCGTTGAACTAGCTCCCGACAGAAAAAAAATAAACTTACCGGTAAAGACACAGGGTGTCCAGTTGATGGTGTCTTGATGGAAAGCACTGCATCCGGCTTCAAAAACAATTTACTGACGAAGCCCATTTTTTTCTCCTGCCAGTTGGTGAAACAGTCTTCTGTGAAGTGCTGACCGCAAACCGATGTGTGGTTTTTAACATTGCCGTGACCAGGGAACGTAATCCATCTATCTCTCACAGCAACATGTTTTGGTAAAGCATGAAAGCTAATACCACTATCTCTCCTCTTAGCATTGCAACCCGCTACCGCACATAGGTGTTGATCCGCCATCGTCTTCTCTACTCCTCAGAACCTGAGCGCCGAGCGGGCGGGGCGGAGGGGAGTATGAGCTTGTGGCCACGCCCAGTGGAGTTACTACGTCACAACTCCAGTCTATTTCAAACGGCATTTTAGCGTCTGCTACTGATTCACAGCCATTTGAATGTAGAAATACTCAGAAATACAACTTTGAGCTTATTTTTCTCAAGATATGTCCTCTAACATCAGAAAAATGCCACAAGAACATGTTAACACCTAGAAAAACATTATTTTCATCGGAGTGGGTCTTTAAGGTTAAATACCACTAAAACACTACAAAGGTTACAAAATGTTATTTTATTGGTGTAATGGTCTTAAAAAGTATTGGTGATTAGTATAACTGCTAAACAAAGCAAATATTTGAAACTGAAAAAGTCTCACTATTTTTAGGGTCAAAAATGGAAGCAAGTGGAGTGGGAGCCATGCAAACTCTGGTAAGTACAACTTCTCATGGGTAACACATAGCCAATTATAACCCACACAAAGTGTCTCAATAAGGTGTTGGGCTACTACGTGCCCCCAGAAGAGTTTCATGCTCTTTGGCATAGTTTCTCTAAGTCTCTGAAATCTGGGGAGCTCCATTGGTCCAAAATATATGCTTTTATTTGGTGTTTATAAGAGCTTCAGTCCAAAAAGTTGTTATGGTGGCTCTTGGTGGTCCAACACCTTACTAAGACACTTCATTGCGCAACAGGTTAGACTAGGGAACAAAGGAAGTAAGTTAGAGTTTAGGGAACTTGGCCAGTTGTCGACGGAAGACGCAAGAGCTAGAGTATAAAGGTTATTGGGTGTCGATTGTAGAAGCCCCAGATATTAATGGTGCGTTCACGTGCTATGGAAAATATGATATTTTCCACTTGTGTTGCGTTCAAGTGCTTTTGTTGTCGTAATGTGGTGAAAAGATGGAGATCCAGAACTGTTAATTAGCTAAAACTATTTTAGATTGCTTAAGTCATCTGCTACAGCAAGAAGATGATTTATCAAAACCCAAACGGTAAATAATATGCTGTATATTTTCTAGATCATGAATAGTACATACTTTTACCATTCACGACTCTCACATTGCTCTCCGCCATTTTGAAAAGGTCAAAGGTTATCTCATCTCGGCAACTCGTGCATCAAAATATTCTACGAGTTGCCCAGTGGAAAATACCACATGAGTGGGTTTTCATGTGCATTTTCCACGTCGGCTTTTGGTATTTACCATAAAAACCATAGCATGTGAACGCACCATAAGTGTCGATTTGGAGATGCTTGGGTGTCGATTGTAGACGCCCCGGATATTTATTAAGTGTCAACGTGTAAACGCTTGTGTGAAGACTGGGCACCCCAAATAAAAGAAGAATAAAAAAAGAATAAGAATAAAAAAAAGAATTATTACCAATCAAAAGTGATAGTTTTCAATTAAAATAATTAGGTTCCAGGTACGCAGTTAGGTTTAGGGAAAAATCTACTACAATATACAGCATAGAGATGTCAACTCTCATAGTTGAGTAAAGTTGGCAATAAATTCACAGATTCGAACTTCCCGGGTCAATTTTCCTCAAAACGAGCTTTCCTTCGTAGTGGACAAAACAACATTGATCTCTATGTGCCGGCTGAGAGACAGATCTGAAGGGACCGTCTGCAAAGTGCAAAACCCAAAAAGCGCTACTACGAAAACAGTCAACACTTACTAGAACAGTTGTTTTGGGATAAAAGTCTTTTTGCATCATTATTTATCATTTTTATTTATGGAAAATATTCAATAACTTAGCTGTAATTCAGTATATTGTTGCCAAATTCAGTTCACACATCACTGCTGTCCTGTTGGTTACACTACAACACTTATTTTGGGAAAAATATTTTGTGTATAATTTTAATGATTTTTTTTTATGAAAAAAGATTCTCTGTATTGTTGCCAAAATTCAGCGTGACGACGAATGGGGTTTCACTTAGAAAGCCTATTAACTTCGAGTATTACAAAACGAGCCAATGGCAAAGCAATGCCATGGGTCTGCGGAATTTGCATGCCGTAACTCAGCCCCAATTCGTGGGTATAAAAGGAGAACGCCGGCAACATGCAGATATGTTTTTGCTTCGGAGCCAAGAGCATCTCTTCACTCCACAAGTCAACTCTGAGTTTTCAACTTCAAACTCTACGAGACGAGCGACTCTCCGGTGTTGCTGTGATGGCGATCTCCAGCGAGTTCACACTGCCTGCTGATCTGTGCAGTGATCTGCCAGTGTTTCTCCCTGGTCGCTTCAACATCCGCAGGTTTTCCTCTCACAAAAGAGCTTTGCACGCGGCATGTCTTTAAAGATGCCTAGCCCGTGCACTTCTGGTTGCGGTCGACTAATTTCCGACTCTGATGGGCACAATCGCTGCTCTGCGTGTTTGGGCTTGATCACGCTAGAGCGGTGTTTGTGGATGACTCATGTTCTCGCTGCTGGAACATGACCATCGCGACACTACGGTCGAGACTCGATCTCGCAAGAGAGAGAGTCCCCTCATCCACACCCCGATCTACACCCTCCACAGGAGGTTGTACTTCGGCTGGTGGCCAGGGGGACGGTGTGGAACAAAGCGCCGACGATTAGTCCTTGGCCCACACCCCCCTTTCCAGTGACGCAATCTATGAACGATCAGAGTACGCCGGCGGGCCCATGTTCGGATGTCCCGTGGGTATTATTTGGCGCTCCAGAGGTGGATGCGATCTCCATTGCAGCATCACAGGGCGGGCAAGAATCTTCAGGAAGTGAAGATTCGGCAATGCTGCCACCTTCGCTCATTTGCCGAGTCGGATCCTGAGATGACAGCCATGCTTTCCCGGGCCGCCACGAGCATTGGGTTACAGTGGAACCCTCCACCCTGTCCTGAGCGCTGCATGAGTTTGTTGATCTCCTACGCCTTTCCTCCCCTCTTCGGGGCCGCTGCCCATGGGTACACTGGGGTTCCCCCGGTTGAATGCTCTGTTACAATGCAACTGTGTCCTCAGAGTGATTCATCTCGGGGCGACCCTAAGTACCCGTCCAAAGCCTGTAGGTTTTCGTCTATGCTTGTGGCGAAATCCTATAGAGCCGCAGGACAGGCAGCCGCCTCTCTAAATGCCATGGCCATTCTGCAGGTCTACCAGGCCCAGATGCTCAGAGACATGCACCCAGGGCTCTTTAATGAGCTGCGTGCAGCCACTGACCTTGCTCTCCGAGCAACGAAAGTGTCCGCACGCTGCCTGGGTCAGGTGATGTCCACTAATGTGGTCCAGGAGCGACACCTATGGCTGAACCTGGCCGATATGCGGGATGCCGAGAGGTCTCGGCTGCTCGACACCCCATATCCCATGCCGGCCTCTTCGGCGGTGCGGTTGAGGACTTTGCGCAACAGTTCTCAACCGCCCAGAAGCAGACTGAGACGATTAAGAATATTCTGCCCCGACGGCCCGCTGCTGCCTCCACCCAGCCGTCAGCTCAGAATCCTCAGTCTGCTCGTCGCCGAGAAAATGTAATTCCTTTGTGGATCCTCTTGATCTGCTTTCTCCATGTTTCTTTGACTAATCTCAGTGTCTCAGTCTCACGCACGCTGCACGCGAGTTAACCATGTTCGACACATTTAACTGGGAGTGGGGCCGTCCACACTGTTTTATCCATTGTAGGCACCGCTCACGATGTGTTTTCGGCTTTGGAAACGGAAAGAACACAACTCCTCCAGACAATCTCTCGGGGTATCTAGTGTCCGATTTACAAACGCCGTGGGCGCACCGCTTCACCATCTTGCTTGGAGTCAATGTTTGACGGACCTGCTCACATAGTAACGGTTGCTATGATGTGTGATTGGACAATGCCCGTTTTGGGGGAGGGACCGGCGAACGGTCAATTGTATATACAATTAAAAATATATTTTTTTCTAAAATAAGTGTTATATTATTACATATATTATATTATTATTATTATTATATTATAAGTATTATAACCAACAGGACAGCAGTGATGTGTGAACTGAATTTGGCAACGATGCAGTGTATTACAAAAATATTGTATTACTTTGTATGATAAAAATCATACAAAATTATGCAAAAAGACTTTTATACAAAAATAAGTGTTGAAGTATAACCATCAGGACAGCAATGGTGTGTAAACTGAATTTGGTGACACTATAGTGTGTGACAGTGAAGTTATTAACTGTTTTCGTAGTAACAAAATAACATTCTCATCATATCAGGGTTGCTATCTTTGGGACTTTGGCTGGAGTGAGCGCGCACACAGAGAACATTTTTGGTAACCCTAATCTTAAAAATGTCAGTCCTTGTTTACTTAGTATAAACCCTGATTTATGCACAAAAAAAACAAAAAACAACAAGGTTCATATTTTGAGTTGTGGTGAGGTATCAGGTGTAGGGCACACTGTCCATCTTCTAACGAATAAGTAGCCTAGTGTAACATTTTTCTTTTTGCTAACAAACATCTGAACATAATTAATTATGTGACTAGCTTACCTGCTGAAGCTCTTCTTGATTCTTCTCCTCTCCATGTCCATCCTCTGTCTTTCTTTTGAAAGCAAGCTCATCTAACAAAACGTAATTTGTACCATGAGCCTATTTTTATTGAGCGATTAGCTAGCCCACATAACGCACGTCAGACAACGTTTGCAACTATAGTTGAAGTCTGTACTCTCGGCACACAGACTGATTAGGCAAGGCTACGTCTGTAGTGACTAAGCACACCATTTTATTATCTGCTTACCTTGACTGTCATCCAAACGCGCATCAGAGGGATCCGACTCCGAACCTATGCTCTGAACTCTCTCTGAACTTTTCACACGCAACTGACATATCAGGTGCAAGGTTTTCAGCGAATCAACGATCAGAGAATCGTGCAGTGAAAACGTTGTAGGCAGATGTTACAGCTGTGGGCATTAAAGAGATAGTTCACCCAAAAATGAAAATTCTGTCAGTAATTACTCTCCCTCATGTTGTTCCAACCCTGAAAGACTTTCGTTCATCTTCGGAACACGAATTAAGATATTTTTGATTAAATCTGAGAGCTGGATCACTCTCTAAGGGCTTCTAAGGGATTAAAACTTGACAGTTTATCAAGCGACGAGAATACTTTCTGTGCGCAAAAACAAACAAAAAAATAACGACTTTATTTCATCTATTCATTTCCTTCTCTGTGGGCCTCTAGTCAGTTAACGTAGTGTGATCGTGTAGTGCTAAAGTCACACGTAGGCTCACTATTGGCCGATGCTGGTCATGTGCGTGATGCATGTGACGTACAACAACAGAAGCTTACGCTGTTAAACTAGTGAACTGACTCGAGGCCCACAGAGAAGAAAATGAATAGTTGAAATAAAGTCGTTATTTTTGTTTGTTTTTGCGCACAAAAAGTATTCTCGTCGCTTGATAAACTTAAGATTGAGCCACTGTAGTCACTTGGACTATTTTAACGATGTCTTTAATAACTTTTCGGGGCTGGCAAGTGTCAATCCCTTAGAAGCCCTTAGAGAGTGATCCAGCTCTCAGATTTCATCAAAAATATCTTAATTTGTGTCCCGAAGATGAACGTAAATCTTACAAGGTTTGAACAACATGAGGGAGAGTAATTACTGACCGAATTTTAATTTTTGGGTGAACTATCCCTTTAAGCTCCTCTCCTGTCATTAATACGCTGTGGTCTAGTCTAGTCATCAATAGAAAATTTACGGATTGAGAGGGGAGAAAAATGGATTTTGAAGTGACATTTCTTGCGTGTGCGTGAGACCGTGAGATTGATACTGAAAGCGTGAGTGTCACGCCAGATGCGTGAGAGTTGGCGTTAAATAAAGCATTGCAATGTTTCAAGAATGGTTCATTTATTGTACATAGCTTGTATAAAAAAACTGAATTGACTGAACGGTTTGCATTGATTTAAACACTTTAAATGTGTAATCACAACAGACGCAGGAGCGCGGCGCAGCCTGATGACGTCACACACAGACCAAAATAAAAGTCCTGTTCACATGATGTGTTTTTCTTTTGCATCCAAGAAAATATTAATAACTGGCAATGAGAGAGTATGAGATTCTGTCTAATAGGCGAAACTGTAATGTTTGTGTCCAGAAACCATTTATACCAGATATTACAGTATTAATATGTAAATAGCTACAAATGTTCTAAAAGTTAAAAATACATGTTAAAACAGTGTATGAATTAATAAATAAAAGTTCATATTATATGTCATTGTGGGATTGGCAATATGACCAAAATCATATTTCAAGATGAGACATTTTAACAATAACACCAGGTGTGTAAATGCAGTTCTGTTCAGGTTTATTTAAAGTAAACTGGATTATATTACAATAATTGATCACATGTTTACAGTATAATCAGATGATCTGGGTTTATATATTTCACATTTATTAATAAATTAACATTTATCAATTTTACAACAAATAACATGTTTTATTGAATGATACATTTCATTGAAAGGTAATTTTGATAGTGATAATACAAATTATTTATGTGACAGTACAATAAGAACTGAATATAGTTTGAGAAAAGCACAGATACACACTGTCACTCATCGTGACTCACAAACACACACTGATCTTTCTGCCTGTTTGAGGATTCATTACACACATTTATTCTGACATGTTATTTTACTGTAGTATTAATGTAATGAAGAGACAATAAGAGACTGTATAACATCTCAGTGTTACTGATTTATCATGCAGCTCAAAGCATTATGGGTAGAATCTCTACAGTCTGTTCTCACTCATCAACACAGTTTCACTGATGATAGAGGATAAAGCCTAAACCCAGGATAGAGTTTGTGTGTGAATGTGGTCTGGACTGTGTGTATGAGGCTCGTTGCGTCTCTGTCGACGCTGTAGAAGGACAGAGTTCCTGCACTGGGATCCACATACACTCCTACTCTCCTGATGATGGACTTTACAGGAAGTATAGTCGCTATGTTATTGTGTGTGAATGAGCAACTGGAGGAAGAGCAGAACAAACTCCAGGACTGATCATTAAATCCAAACATACACTCATTACCCCATCCCTTCCTCCTGATGCTCTTATATGATACTGATATAAACACACTCCCACTCCACTCAATCTCCCAGTAACAGCGTCCACACACACTCTCACTACACAGCACCTGAGGATCATCAAATCTGTCTGGATGATCAGGATACGGACTGTGGACTGTGTAAGTGTGAGTAATCACTCTGTTCCTCTCAGACAGACGGAGGTGTTTATTCACTGTGTTCGGATCCAGAGTGAACTGATGATAATCTGATGGAAAGAAAACACATCAGTGTGTGTGTGTGGGTGAACTGATGAGAATCTGATGGAGAGAAAACACATCAGTGAGTGTGTGTGTGTGTGTGTGTGTGTGTGAGAGAGAGAGAGAGAGAGTTTGTGTGTGTGTGAGTGAGTATGTGTGAATGATGGTTTGTGTGTGTGTGCGCGAGAGTGTGTGTGAGTGAGTGTGTGTGTGTAGACGTACATTTTTGTAGTCCTGCTTTAATCCTGATCTCTCCTCCATGATCCACACTACAAAACACACAGTGACAGTTAATCAGTAAACACACACACACACACTCACTTTTAAACACACTCTCTCTCACACACGCACACACACACACACACACACACACACTGTAGCTCCCTCCAGTAGTCAACGCGAAACACGTCTTGTTTAAAATACGGGGTTTATTTCTCCAACATATCATGTCAACCCTCAACCCGTGAGAACTGGGTTGAAAGAGAGAAAAAATAAAAGATAATATGATTACAATGCATGTATGTATGTCTAACTATAATCGTTATAGTTACACACTAGTTAACACAAGCTATGCGCATGATATATATTACAGAAAACCGGATACAAAAGAAACATACCTCGTAGGCTGCTTTCTACTTAAGAGGGGCTAAATCTTAAAGTCTTCTTCCTTGTCTTCTGATAATATACGTCTAGATATGTTTATATTCTAAATATTTACTTAGCTTGGAGAGCTCTTCCTATGCTATGGTTTTTGGCCGTGTCCCAATACTCACACTACGCTCTAAGGTCTTCCTCGAAGTGGACACTTGTTGAAAGTGCACTTAGCGGAGTAAAGTGCGCAAGGGCCCGAAGCTGTGAAGAGCAGAATTGTGACAGTTTTGCACACGTCACTATCTACATCACTTCTGTTTGCAATGAAGCCCTTACTTTCAAATAACAAATTTGTCTGCTCATGTTATGGCCATGTTAACTTATCCCTGGCTAGAGGCATTTCTGTGCCCTGTGAATAGCCGCTCATTCTCTGCCCTGAACTTTATAAAATTGAAAGTCAGCTCGTTGGACCCTGACAAAAATAAAGTGAAAACATTGTATCATCATGTATTATGTTATTTATTGCGTGAAAATAAAACATTTGAGTGAAATAAAACAAGCCAATGCATATTGGCATGCGATAATCGCATCCTTGTTTTTCCGCTGAGGAGCCGGACCTGTGACTCGGCCGTACAACGGAAGCACAGCAACTGTGGCGAGGGGACTCACGTCTCCATTCCCTCCTCAGGGAACGAGGGTTACCATACGTAACCGAGACGTTCCCCTTCGTCAGATCACTATAGCGTGAGTCAGAAGTGATTCTGACGAATGGGGATATCTACCAAAACGCCACGGCTGCTGACTCTTCCAGCACTCCGCTTGAGCCTCCTGGCCTGACCAAAGTGTTGGGCAGAAGTAGGAGCTCTAAGCAGAGATGGTCAGTCACTGCTGTTCCGCAAGACCCACTCAGTGTGACTTACTGGATAACGCTGGGACAGCGTGCCCTTGGGGAAGGGAATGCTGCGGAAGCCACATCCTACCCCGGAGGGAGGCACTGTGACGGATACACATATGGACTAGCCAAGCAGGGTAGTACAACATATGGCAGTCTCTGGAGTGGTTCCAGCCTAGTTATGGGGGGAAAGAACACAAGCAGAGACAACAGAGCCAGAGGAGCTGACTGTGGAGGAATACACATATGGGGTCGCCGCAGGGACCGCTACATATGGACACCCAGCCTAACACAGGTTCCACAACGCATAAACTGTAAGTGTAGGCCTGCGTCAGACGCTCCGCAACGTCTGACTGCCGCAGGGGTGACGGAGGAACTCACAGGGTTAGCCATTTCTGGGGAACACTACTGGAGCAAATCAGGCACGGATTAACGCACGGGCCTACTGGGCACTTGCCCAGGGCACTGGGCCAGCAGGGGGCCCTGTAAAATGTAGGCCTACTGTCTATTTTTTCCAAATAATTATTTTTATTTTATTTTTATTTTCAGTAAAATTGTGTTAAATATTGAGGAATAATGTGATTTTTTTTGCAGTTGCAAAGTATTAACTAGTAAATAAATCAAATAAATAATTTTAATGTATTGCTGCGCTGTTGAGAAGGACATCTAGAGGCGAGTGAAAAGCATTGCGTAATATAAAAGTCACGCGTAGAAGACGGTTACTCAAAAACCAAAACAAAAATGAGTTTAAAACCACAACCAAGGCAGAACATAGGCTAAGTTGTTTATGTTTTACAATAGTAGCCTATGGGCTTATTTTTTTAACGAAATGTCAATCTTCATCTTTATAACAGAAGATATAATACAATACAACAATCTTCAGGAGTAAATCTTCAAATGTGTAACGGATTGTCACCTTAAAAAGTGTCTTTTGTGGTGGAACAAGCAATGCTATATAGCATCTTAATTTAATCTTTGTTTTATTATTTTAGTTCATTAACTAATTGTTAACTCAACTAATTTAACGTAAAGACCTGGATACTAGAATTAGGCTACTAAATAAAACTAAATAAATGTCAACTAGCCTAAATGCATTGATTAGAATTGCCATTGACTAAAGATTTTCTAGTCGACGACTAGTAGTCATTCCTTTAAGCAATTAGTCGACTAATCTCAAGTTAATATTAATTTCTGCTTAAATACTGAGTGGAGGCATATAGCCTATTCCACGCTCAAGCAAGCGCATGCATAAATATTGCCTCAAAGCACCGGCAAAAGCAGGCTAATGATAATATATGTCTGGAAAAAAACTAGGCATTTTTATTGTTTAATAATAATAATAAATAAATTAATTAAATCAGTGTCGGCTCGGCTGCAATCATATCTATATCTCCGCTGTAAAGTGGATGCGCCTTTAGAGAGAAATGCACCTTTCATATCATATCAGCCTAATCAGCCGGTATTTGCTTTCGATTCGAATTTTTTCGTTTAAAAGTGGACATTTCAAGCTTTATATAGAAATATTCATCATGTATGTGAGGCTATACACTGTGTTTCAGTTCATTTTTGAGACGCGCTCCAGTTCACGCCACGGAGACCATGAAAGCGCGCCCTGTTTGTTTTATTTTATTTTACAAAAGCACAACGTTTTCTTGTTATTGTGAGTTTACAAAAATAAAAGTAGCTACTTGCGACTGATGCATTATTCTTTTCTGTACAGGCCTATGACCAGAAAAGATTGAGTAGGCCTATTTCAAGTTGTTTCCACTGTTGATAGGAAAATGCAAGTGTTCGCGCCGACGCCTGCCATGCAGTGCGCGCTGCACACTCCGCACACGCACTTGGATATGCATTTATCTAGGTTAAAGTTAGAGCGAGCTGCCATGCCAGACGGATAAGTTATTTTCATGTTTAACAAATCAAATCATGCATTTTCTACCTACCGCGAGTAAGCGCTGCACCAGTTTGAAAAAGGTAAAAGCATAACGAGCGTAACGAGCGAGAGGCCCCACACTGGGGGATGCAGAGATGTTGCTGCGTCTGTTATTATTAACATTTCTGATTGTTTAAATGACCAGCCCTCGGGGGTCCCCTCAAAATGCCTGGCTTGCCTGCCCACTGTTGTCCAAAAAATTGGTGAAGGGGGCCTTTGAGACATCCGTGCCCAGGGCACATCATCGCCTTAATCCGTCCCTGGAGCAAATAGACGCACGTATCCGGCCCATGGGGACGGGAGTGGCGTTGCAAGCCGACACTAAGAACGGGTCCCTCGAGCTACTAGCCACTGGGGGCGAATATATGGGAAGATACCGGCTCTACACGGAGGCTAGAGAAACTAGCGAACGTGTTAGGTGTCGCCCAGCCCGCAGCTCTACATATATCTGTCAGCGAGGTGCCTTGAACCAGCGCCCAGGATGAAGCAACACTTCTAGTTGAGTGTGCACGCAACCCGAACGGGCAAGACACACCTTGGCCTTCGTAAGCCAAGGAGATGGCATCCACTATCCAGTGGGCCATCCTCTGCTTGGAGACAGCCTTTCCCTTCTGCTGGCCTCCTTTGCGTTCTGTCCACGTACCACGTCCACGGACGGGACAGAGAAGAGCCAGGGCTGGGTCTGCCTCCTCTGAAGGCAGTGCTTGTAGGTTCACTACCTGGTCCCTGAAGTAGGGCTGCACGTTTTCAAGTTTTTCATTAACCGTTAACCGAGGCCCTTAGCGGTTAATACTCGGTTAACCATAGTGTGCGCGCCGCAACCCGAGATACAGACACACGAGAAAGGGGTAGTTCATTTTTAACACCTTTAAAAAATGTGTTAAAAATGTGTTAACATTTGAAACGAAATTAATTTATAGAAATAAAACGCAGTGGAAATGGCTCACAAGCTTTGCAGCAGCGGAGATGGCGCGGTTCAAAAAAAGAGAAAATCCATCATTTATAGCAAGCTGAAGCGTATGCGCAAAGCATGACACAGAATGCCAATCATCGCCTCTGTTAGCAGCCGCATATAGCGCCTAAAACGCGTAGAAAACGCTAGGCGCGCCGTGTTCTCCTTTTTCCAACGCGCTAGGGCGGTTGCGCTCCGGAGGCGTCTGTCGTTGCTAAGCAATCGGTGCGCTTGCGGCATTCTGAAAAGTTTAGATGTTTTTATCTCGATGCGGCGCGGATGCGCTTGGAAAAAACGAGCGCGTCGCTTCCATTATGAGCGCGCATTCCGCGCGCCTACATTTGAAATAACGAACTTGAGCGCGCAAAAGACGCGATATGTGAACAGTCCCTAATGATGCCCGGGTGTTGGCTGTTGAGATGGTACAACAACGAGGTTGTACTTGAAGTATATCTAAACACTGCATTGCAATACTTGCATTTTGCCCCGTCATTCTCGATTTTAAAGTGCTCCCACGCTGTGCTTTTCTTTGCCCGCTTCATATTAGAAAACTGGTCATGACTACTTCTTGTGGACATTACAAATGTCTGGGAGCGCTCTGGCGGTCTCTGGTGGTGCAAAAATGTATTACAACTAAATTCAATGCACGCCATTGACGCCACTTAACCGAGCAAAATGTTTCACTCAGTTACGCAATTTTTAACGGTTAATCGGTTAACCATGGACACCCCTACCCTGAAGGGAGTGGTAGGAACTTTGGGCACATTTCGAAGCCGGGGTCTCAAGACAACGTGAGAGTTGGCTGGCCCAAATTCTAGGCACGATTCGTCGACCGAAAATGCTTGCAGGTCCCCTACCCTCTTGATAGAAGCAAGAGCAGTCAGGACACCTATTTTAGTGA